AAGTATAACAGTGTAATTAACACAGGGCAAGTGGCTCAGAAGAACAGAATAACTGCAGGTGATACGTAGAGATGGAATGTGAATCACTGGCAATTCACTGATTAAACAGGAAGGAACAGCAGTACTTTATAGAGAGTTTTATATATACGTATGTGTGTATATGTATATATACACTGTACTGCAATAGTTTGTGAGCTTTGGAAAGCTTCATTCCCACCATTGGAACAGCTGCTTTCCCTGGCATCAAACTGTGTAGAGATCAGTGAGAACTCTGAGAACATGCCCAGTTTCTAGAAAGGCAAAAATTTAATACATCTTCCAAACTGTGAAAAGCCAGTCCAGTTCAGAGATGAGTTAAATAAGAAGAACTAAAGTGAGAGAAGGATTGTTTCTCCTGTAAAGAGCTGATATATTTATTGAGAAAGTAAAAGCAGAGAAGAAAAGTTTCCCTTTAAGGAAAAAAAAAGTGTGAATTTTTACCAAAATGTGTTCCTCATGATCTACAATTCAAGTCCCATAGACGAGGTGGCATTTCCTTGTTGTGGTATCTTTTGCTGTTAGAAAAAATTTAATGAAAACAAATGGGAGGAATGCATTGTGTAACAAAAAGAATGAGCGAAGAAAGAGTTGAAGACAAAATCTAGAGGGCTGACTATAGAGCTATCTCTTCAATATCAGGCTTTTCAGCAAGGGTAAGTATTTGGCCATCCCGTGCATTCCTCACTATTTGCTTTCATTTATCCATAACAAAAATAAAAATGATACAAGTGCTAACAGGGTGCAAAACCGGCCTACAGTTGTTGTGGGGTTTCCGTTCTTTTCTGCATTACATGGTTTTGCGAAAATAATATAAGTGTTTCCAAGAATGTTAAGGGAAAAAAGATGTTGCTTGTTTAAACAATTTTAATGAAGGTCTAACCTTTTACAGTAAACGTCTGTTCCCTTCATTTACTTTCTGGCAGCAGTTTGTGTGTTTTTTGCAAAGGACACAGTTTAATGAACATATACCAGATTATTTAAATGAATGGTTTTAATGAGTTCTTTGAATAGGTTTCTCTAAAAAATAAGCATGAAATTACTTTTTCAGTTGGGATGCTTTAATATAGTTTAAGAAAAACGTACATAATCACTTCCCAGCAAACATAGGCCTTAGTTGCTTTAACATTCCAGTGCCTTTGAGGGCTAACAAACTAAAGTAGTTGTTTCATGGGGGTGATAAATCAGTACAGAAAATTGATGTTTTAATATTGTATTACTTCCTAAGAGATAGCCTTTTCCTGTAGGAAAGGGGAAAAGACTTTTTATTTTATCAGAACGGAACATCAGTTTATTTCTAAATAACGGAAAGATATAGACAGGCCTGATACTGTAGGCTTTCATTAAAGGGCTCCAGCAGCAGACAATAATTAACTAATTAATAATCTTAAAAAGGAAATACTTCCAAGTTCCACTTGGATAATTTCAGGCAAAAGTAATTTGACTTCACCAAGTGATTTAGCTTCAAAATTATTAAACCTAGTCCCTGACTCTATTTACTCTTTTTTGTGTTCTCTTATTGCAGCGTGAAGTGTTAATTCCATTCAAACAATTAGGATTGGGCACTGTTCACGATGTAGCCACTAGGAAGAAAAATATGCCAAAAGTCTAAATATATCTGCAGCTTCCTAGAAGAATGTCTTTCACTTTTGAACCAGCAGAGGGTGCCTTATATGATTGATCTAATTGTTTAGAAGTCACTTCATGGTTTAACATTATTTAATTGCCCTGATTTTTCTCTATTCATTTTGTACATATACAAATAACATCACTGCAATGGAAAAGCAACCTGAATGAGAGGTTGTAGAATTTTTAATCAGTGGTATTTTGCCTTCTTAGAATAAAATCTATTTTTCCTATGCCATAATGTAGTAAGATGGACTCTAGTCTTGAAAGTCTGATTAGTCAAGAGATAGTCCATTCAAGCAGGGTTACAACAATTTGCAGTCTTTTTTTGAGCGTGAGGCTAATGATGACATGCCTTGATGCACAAAGTAACTGTAATATAGTTAGGTGATACTAAGCCTTAAAAGACATTTTGTTTAAATTTTAAAAATTGTACTGTGATTTCTATGGCTTTGACTTAGTTTTACGTATGGCCATTTCTAACCTTCTCTATCGATTCTGGGTGAAACCGCTACAAAAATGCAAGCAAAATGCCTCAGCTCATTCCCCATCCTTCCCTTCTCTGCCCATGGAAATGTCCTATGGCTGAAAGAGATCAAAGCTTAAGCAATCAGTTTGCGAAAACCTTTGCATAGCCTTGCAATATATACCAATTACTTGATAGGACTGTAGTCCAAATGTATTTTCTGAAGGCATACTAAATTTCTATTGGTTTTCATGACAAGTATCTTATCTTGTGGTGTAATATTTAACTACTAAAATACTTAACATATATCAATATTAATAACTGCCTTTGTCATCTCTAACATCTACGGTCCTTATCATTAACCAGAGACACATCAAATACTTAATATGCACCTTTACATACCTTCAGTATATCAGTTTGAAACAGGATACAAAATCCAGGCTTTATACATGCAAAGCCTGCGATTGTTGTGGATCATATTTTTCTCATATGATATTTTTGTTTCATATTTATTCACCATTACCAGTGGAGGAATCAGTAATTTCTACATTTATTTTTGTGCCATTAGATCTTAGGCATAGGCGTTGATGCCATTGTTGGCACCAGCATCTATTTGGCTCCAAATTTTCATATTACTGAAATAATCTGTCCTTTCATAGAACTCCTGTGCTTATGGTGTTCACACATTTTTTTGAAACCTTGTCGTTCCTGTTTTTGGTCTGTGTTGCCAAGATTTGTAAGTGGATGGCCTGAGTATAAGTATCCACACTTCTTCAGCATCAGAAACCCTTGGTATGAATGCCTACATTTTTTGTAGACTCACTTTCAAATTTTTGTTTTTAAGTAAAGATGTTGAATTAATGCTTAGATTGTGAAAGTCTTCTATGATGCAGGTTCCATTTTTCTACATTTCATATTGATTGTTTCTTGGAAACCTCAAGATGTTTTACAATGCTGGGGAAATAAATCCTCAAAGGCAATATGGATCTTATTTCCTAAGACAGCTACTTGAACAGGATAACAGAATTCAAGCTTTTCCACTTGAATTCTGAATACAGGGCCTGTTCCTCATGTTGTTGCTCCCCTTGTTACTTCACAGTCTATAAGCACCGTCTGCTATTCAGCGCTCTCTGCAAGATACTGTTCTTGACAGTTGCAATTCCTGCTTGAGTTTCAGTGACTTAACAAGAAGGAATGTTCTGTACAGAGTACACCTCTTTTTCCACTTCTGGCTGGCCAGAGAAAAAAAATGATTTTAACTAGAGGTCTACTCATATAGATTTCGTATGCAGCACTCCTGGCAAACAAATGATAAGATAGAGGAAAGTAACATTTCCTTGACTCTTTCTCCCCACCTTCCACTCTTTTTACTAAGCCTTTGCTTTCCTTTTGCATCTGAAATGATAAATTTTCTCTTGGAGGAACACCGAGCAAAAAGAGATCTACTTGGAAATGATTTCTATAAAGAGTATTAGTGAAATAGCAATACTAATGGTCAGATTCTAAGCTGCACAGGAATTCAAAGCATTTGCAGGTGGAGTAGTGGCAAATATTATAAAGAAACCCTAACAAAGTAATATTTAATTGATGTAACAGTTCTGAGACTGGGAGTAAGGAATTGTTTTACTATCTTGGTAATTATTGCTTAAAGGTCTGCAGTCCTGTCAAGTGAAGAATGCTGTTCAAGTCCAAAAAATTATTTTTTCTCACTCAGTAAGGAGCAGTTCATATCAATAAGATTAAAAAAGAACCAATTTGAATGATCATGTCTGCAATACTGAAGGTACTGCTTCATAGCAAAAAAAGTTTATTTTGCTATTATTAAAAAATGACTTAAGTTAGATCAACCAAAAAGATCTCCACCTTAAAATCATTTGAGTATGCCACTCGGCAGCAGTCTATGACTCTTTTATATGGTCTTTAAAGTGCTCAATAATCCCATAAAGTTTTAACTTTTATTTTATTGTTATTTGCTACTTTTTGTGCTATGTGTCTTAAGTCAGTGAAAAGATCTTTCATGAATCACATGAATTTTTATTTTACCGCTCCCATAAAAAAGCTTTCTAATATCTTTTAATAGCACAATTTTGTGTGTGAATTGTACTACAGTCAGCATGCATTATTCTGAACTCTAGTTTCTGGACCAGAAAGCCATGTTTAAATCACTCTGGGAATTAAAATTAAATGGGTAAATGATTGACTACATGGAGTGGTAGGGTTATCCTACACCAGTTAGAAGGTAGTAGAACACCAAGTTATGACATCAAGTTTTGATTGAGAAGCAGGGTAAAAATTATTCAAAAGGGAATTTTTGTTGTTGTTCTGTTTTGTTTTGTTTTTAACCTGGTAGTGGAACAAGAAGCGAGAAATTACAATGTGGAAGGTATGTAGTGTTCCATCAGCAACCAAAACCTGCATGGACATTTTAGTTTTCGTGCAGAAGGGCTAGAGCACTCTGAAAGAGTTTTTAGCCACAAAAACAAATGAAGTTGCCCTAATTAAGATTACTAATAAACTTTTCACTATCCTGTACTTCTCTGAAGCATTTTTTTTAAGCTTCAAAAAAGTCTAGCTTCTCCCCAAATAGTTCAAAGAAAGCACAGACATTTCTCAGACAAAAATCTGAGGACAAATAAAGGTTGCAGTTTGTCCAGGCGTGTCACGTTACAGTGAAAGCCAACGGGTGAAGTGACAGCAGGTTCTCAGTTGAAAGGGAATCAATACTGTTCTACAAATAAGAATAAATTGCTTCAGAAAGTTTTAGAGTATTTGCAAATAGTTTCATTTGGGACTTCTTCTCCGAGACCGTAATATCCTGTTTTTCTCCTCCCCCTTAAAAGCACCGGCCAAGCACAAATGCACACTAACTTACCTGACAGGTTGGCAGATAGCGCCAGCAGCCATTAAAATGATCCAAACCAATAAGGTTATGGAATAAGGAAAGCTATAGAACATTTAATATTAACATACTAATCCAAATTGTCCGCAGGACATCCCTGGGAGCTGTGGCCGGCACAGCCCATCCCCGGCAGGGCACAGGAGAGGGGAGGTGTGAGACTGGGGAAGCCGCCCTGGGGCCCATCTCCATTCCCTCAAGGTGCCCGCTCAGCCTAGGCACTTACCTTCTTGCCAACCAGGGCCTCGAAGTGGCTTCGCAGCTCCTCCACAGTGATGGGGAAGTGCTCGATCTGCTGAGGGCTGCCCACAGTCTCCTCCTGGAACACATCTGCCCTCCCGCTGTCTGCCGGTACTTTCTCCATGGTGCTGCTGCAGCTGATCTTACCCAGCACCAGGGACTGTGGGCCTGGCGAGCACCAGAGTATCGGGCCAGGTCTCGTAGCATTGGTGGACTCCCATCTCTGCTTGAGGAGCTCCACAGAGCCCTTCTGCAGGGGAAAGTCTGCCAGCTCCAGCATGCCCTGCCAATGCAACATGTACCTGGGGTCAGAGACAGCCAGCACTGTGCCGGTAGAGGCCACCATGGGGCGGCTAGAGAGCCCTTGAGGGTCGTGGGACAGGCCAGGGCACAGACTGATGGC